GTTGTCCACGCGAATTGCCACCTTCAACAGATTTCAAATGCCACTCAAATGCCTTTTTTCATCTTTGGCTGTGCCTATGCCATTTTGGTAGCAGAATCCAAGATTATTTTGTCCATTCGAATTGCCACTTTCAGCAGATTTCAAATACTACTCAAATGCCTTTTTTTCATTCTTGGCTGTACCTATGCCATTTTGGTAGCAGATTCCAAGATTATTTTGTCCATTCGAATTGCCACCTTCAGCAGATTTCGAATATAACTCAAATGCCTTTTTTTCATCCTTGGCTATGCCTATGCTATTGTTGTAGCATAATCTAGCATTAAATTGTCCTATCGAATTGCCACCTTCAGCAGATTTCAAATATAATTCAAATTTAGCCTTTTTATTCAAAAAGTCCAAATAATTGATCATATATTTTATCATAATTAAAGTTTAGAAAGATTTATAATTCGTATTGCACTCTCATCCTACTGTATATATATATACATACGTACGTACATACATTGAAAAAGGAAAAATGACATCAAGATTAGTTATTGAGTTACACAACAATAACTATTGCTTTAAATAAATCCTAATATTGGAAGGCTTCGATCGAGCATGGAAGATTTGGACGGAGAATTAGTGTTCTAAGTCTACTGCAGCAGAGGCGAGTCTTTTAGTATTCTTGGTCTTATTAGTTGAATTCTAATATGTTTTTTGAAACTTTTCCATATTTTCATTCACTAATACAATGCTATATATTCCTCAAATCAGTTAATTACTAACTCAAACTTGAATTTTGATTCATGATTATCATGTGATTCTAGCAAAATTACTATATTTATCACCTAAACTACATCTAAACAGCAATATATTTTTCTAATCACTTTTGATATTTTAAAAAAAATTATACACCTTCATAGTTTCGATAGTAGCAAACCATTAAAATTAGCCAAGTAAATTATAAAATGATTTAAAAAAGTTTTTGTAGCTATATAAATATATACAGTAATTTTTTACAAATTTGTCAAAATTTATATAGTAAAAAAATTTATAAATTATTAGCATATGATAAAACTTTAATGTTTACGAAATTTTTAGATAAATCAAGTGGCATGTTTTATTGATTCAATTTTTCATATTGATCGTAACTTTGTATTTTAAGCATAGCTTTACAAAGTTGTCAATTTTCAAGAAATAATTAAACAGTACGTATAATAGTGGTATAATCCAGAGAAAATTTGAACCGATTCATATGACTTTGGGTACAGATTACGCGAATGATATAGCATTTATTACATAAAAATCAAGGTACTGTGCATTTTTCTTTTTTTTAATTTACTCAAGTACCTGTTGAGATATTCGAGTCGGTTAAAACCCATGAAGCAGGTCATACATCGATACAGATGAGAACCTCTTTGGAATATTTTTTTGTTTGAAATTAGGGTTTCGTTGATTTGATTTTCATTAAGTGTAATTGTCGAAGGGACATGGGTGAGACTTGACATGTTTAAACGTAAACACGTTATATTTCGTTTCTTTGAAGTTCATAGAGGCCCACATCGTCTTAATGATTATATAAAAAATGAATGTTGCATGTAGTTTATTTATATTATGGATTTTTTGGTAACTTATATCCTAATCCATGAACTAGAACTTGCAGCCTTTTAGTTCTACTATCATTACTTACTTTTTGCTCTTGCAGAGTTCACTCAAACTCTGGTACTCTTCTTCAAGTCTACCAGTATCTTTCTTTTCAGTATTCTCTAGCCAGTCTCTTCAGATTTTTAATCCAGATGGCCCAGAAGAGACACCAGTTCTCTAGTATCTGCATGCAGATTTTTTTCCTCTGGTTGATACTAATGGTCTAGTTGGTGAGGTACCCTTGTTAAATACCTAGTTCTTGTCCAGTTATACTAGCCTCAGGTGTATTCTATCCTAGTAGTACTATTGAAGGCTTGTGCTACTTCTCTTCTCAGAACTTTTTAAGTAGGTATTCATCTTTTGATTCTTTGGTTTTATACAGTTTCTCAAAACTTATTATAAGTTTGCACTAATTAATATTAGCTTGCATATCTTCATATAACTTATATATTGTATAAATGTTTAATATTTCTTTCAGGTATTAGATAATACTTGATACAACTTTAGTAACAAATCAATAATTCAACTAATCAACAAGAGATAGTAATTGTAATATATATTAGAATATTTGAATTTTATTACTAGTAAAAATTGAACCCTAGAAATGCTACTTGAAAGTGCAACAACTTTATCACTTTACTAAGTCATTATACTCTTATTAGTCTATGATATTAGACAGATATTAGATAGATATTATATTGATTTTATTAATTAGTTAATTATTTTATATCTGATTTTATAATCTTTATTATTATACATATTGTTTTTATATCATTCTATTATATTAAAAAATTTTAATTTGTAATATTAGTTTAAATCAAGTTTAAAAAAATAAATTTATAAAATTAAAATAATATTTTCTTTAAATATAGTAAATTATTATTATATCAGTATATATTATATATTGGCCTATATTTTAAACTAGAAATAATAACTAATAAAATTATATAAATATTTTAAAAAATATATAATATTATATATATTATTATAAATAAATAATATAGGGGCTTTGTAGTAGAAAAGGCCTAAATGCTATATATAATATATAGAGTATTTAGGCCTTTTCTACTGCAAAGACCCTATATATTAGCTATAATTTGATTTATAAATAAAAATTTATTATTTAGTATATTATCTTCTAATAATATATGTAATTAAGTAATTTTGAAAAACTAACTATAAGATACTAAAAGTAAAAGTATTAAGCAGTTTTAAAGAGAAGTATTAGGGTTTAAGTAAATTTTATAAGAACAAAAGTAAATAATAGTAGTATAGATAAAAAACTAACTACAAATACTTGTTTTCAGACTTGATATAAGTTACTGAAGTCTAAATTAGTCAGATTGTGAGTATAAAAAGCTTTAGTAAGCTTATTCTCAAGGATAAAAAATCTTCTATAAGGTTAAATTTGCTTTGAAATTCTAAATTACTGTTTGCTACTGCTTACAGTATCTGAAGTTTTATTCAAGAACATCATTTTTAAAATTGAATAGTACCAGGTATTATTCATGAATCCAGTAATCTTATTGGTGGAGGAGGGGTACTTTATGTGGTAGGATACTATTTTTAGAGGATACTGTAAGTAGTGACAAACAGTAAATATTTAAAATAAAAGAATACTAGTATTTTTGTTTGGTTATTAAGGTAATTCACATAGATACAAAAGGTTTAAATAGATAATCTTCTAGTTAGATTATAGATATAATATTTATTATAGAATTTAATTATAAGCAGACTATTTAAATAAGCAATCAAAGTTATATATATAGCTAATATATAAAATAGTAAATGCTATAACATACTATAAAATTTAGAATATTGTTAAATATCGCAGGTTGCTATATCGCAGGTTGCTATATCGCAGGTTAATATGATTGACTAATTAGATCACAGGATCTTGTGTAACAAAAATGAATGAAAATAAGAAAAAAGTCAAAGTTTAAATATCTCGAAATTTCATTATGTAAACTAGTATTGGGTTTCTACTTAAAAGTTTTCAACACTTAATTTTACATATATTTATACCTTCTAATACTAGCTCAAACTCTAACCCTAACTAATAATAATTTAAATTTTTTTTAAATTATATTTTTCTGCGATATCACAACCTGCTAAATTTAACAAATTTCAAAATTTAAATCTATAATTAAATAAAAAGAGATAACTAAAAGATTACCTTAATATTAAAAAAATCTTCCAAACACATTATAGATAATGAAAAATTATTTTTTAAAATTAAACACAAAACTTAATCTATTTATTTAAGAAAACAATAAGATCTAAATATCAAAAAATTTTATATTAAATTTCCTATTCAAATAATTTTAAAAGGATTTTATAATTTATCGCCATGGCGTTGTATCACCACCCCTGATCAACCAATTAGAACGCAGGATCAGGTGTAATGTGAAATCGAAGCAATTATGATTTTTTATCAAAAATCGTCTATAGCACGAAATTTTGCCTATGAAACCATCTCTCGTGCTTTAATAAAAAAAAATTTTCTTGAAATTTTGGATTAGAACCACTTTACTAAAGTGCCCTACCCTAACCGTAACCTAACCCTCACCCTAATCCTAAATTAACGAATTAATTTTATTGTTTTGATTTAATGTTACACCAGATCTTATAGGGTGCAACATATCGCATATGCGAAAAAATAAAAAATTCTTTTAAAAATAAAATTATTAAAATTCAATATAAGGCAAGAGTTAATGATAAAACTGCAAAAATCCAATATATAAAGAGATGTTAAAATATTTACTAGGTATTATATTAGTTGTTTTGTAAATTAAAATTTTTAAAGCCAGAAAAATTCATAAGCTATTTGAAGAAAATGAAGTTAAAATTGATAAAGTTAAGTATACTATTTGCAATGCAAATAATATTTTAAAATTAACTAATTTACAAATTCAAAATATTATAAATCAAGTAACCTCAAAAACCATTTTTCAAAAAAACAATCAAAATCATATGACTGAAACAAAGATAAATACTATATTTATCTACTTTTAGGGATGCAGTTATACAATATAATAAAGAAGAATAATATTATTCAGAATTTTTTTAAGGAAAACTTCGGAATTGCAAATAAAACAATTTAATTGGCCAACCCATTGGTATTATACCTATATCTCTGTGTATAATACTGGTATTATACAATGGGGTAAAATCACCACCCTAAAAAGTTTCATGACCAATCAAATCTCAAAAATCGCTTATAACCCAAAATTTAGTTTATAAAACTGCTTTCTGCGTATTAATTACAAGTTTTCCTTGTAAATTTTGCTATAATAAATGTCAATCTAATGGCAAAATCCTAACTCTAACCTAAAAAAACGAAATTTTACTTTAAACTTCTTTTGGTGGCGATTCTACCCTTGTCGACCTAAAATACGAGCAGGTAAAATTTATCGGCTTAGTCATAGCCGAAAAATTATGCAAATCGAAAATGAGTACCTGGTTGTGCTCCGGATGATAAACTATCGCTATAAAATACTAATAGTAATTATTGATATTTTTTCATATTTCGCTTCATATTTCACATCATATTTCACATCATATTTCACATCATATTTCGCTTCATATTTTACTTCATATTTCGATTCATATTTCGATTCATATTTCGTTTCACATTTCGTTTCACATTTTGTTGCACATTTCGGATCGCCACCAAAAAAGTTTCAAGTAAAATTTCGTTTTTTTTTTAGGTTAGGGCCAGGGTTTTGCCATTAGATTGGTGTCTATAAAGCAGGTTCATAAACTAAATTTTGGGTTATAAGCGATTTTTGACATTTGTTTTGAATTTTCCTGATCGGTTACGTTACACCTAATCTTGAGATTTGATTGGTCATGAAACTTTTTAGGGTGGTGATTTTACCCCGTTGTATTATACTAATCGTATAATACGGAATAGTGTAAACTCGCATCTACTCATTCTGTCCAATTGTCTTACCTCGGAATAGGGATTGGAACCGTCTAAAATTTTTCTTAATCGTTTAATCGTTTAATTTGGCCGGCATTAAAATAATTCCAGCTTATGACCAACATAATTCCGCCCGAAACTATGGAGCAATTTTAACGGTTCCAATCCCTACCTCGGAAGTTGAGATAAGTGAGGATATAAATCTTCACCAGAAACTGTAAATGTATTCGATAAGAATAATGAAAATGATGATAAATTCTCTGATAACAATGATGAAGAATATTGCGGTTTTTCTAATGATGAAGATGAACCAGGTTATTATTATGATTTAAGTAGTGGGAAAAAACTTATAAAAAATTCTGCTTATTTAATTAGCGCATATTAACACGCGATACTGGAATCTCACTAGTAACTGTAAGAGCATAGATTAATAAAGTTAACTTAATAGTTTCTACTAATTAACTAGGCTAATGCGTAGCATTGTGTGTCCGGAGCACATAACGATCATCGTATAACACAAACGCGTAAGCATGCATATTTTTGTTGTACTAAATTACAAATTTGAACACGCGTGCGGACGGACAAAAAATTTCCAAATTACATTTCTGATGCGATCTTCATAATGTTTATGTGACTACATCAAAAAGGTAACTATTTTGGGACCACATGCATCAAAAACGTAATTTTTATATCACCATGCGTAAAAACTAAAAGTCTGTCGCTACGCTCCGGACAATAATCGCAAATTACATTGTAAAAAATCATTTAAAAAATGGCGAGGCCGGCGACCCCCTTCTTTATTTATGACGAAAATTCTGGACTCTCTCTCACAAAAACTTCAGTTGCGCGAGACTGGAAGATGACAGTTCTGCTTTCCGGGTTATATGAGAAAACATTGGCCTGTAGCAGTTCATCGGCTATTTGTTTGTTGTTGACGAGCTCGATGAATATATCAAAATGGATTTTTTCATTTTTCACCAACTCTTGGACGATGACCTTGCCAATGACATGATTTCTTTCGCCCTTCATCATTTGAGCCTGGTGAAAGTTGTGATTGACGGCACCGAGCACAATTTTACGAACCACTAAAAGCAAAATATTAAGTATGATGAGAATGTTCACACAACGTTCATGCAAAATGCCATTATCATTGTCCAGATAGTAAATGCACTCTCACCTTCGAATGTCTTGCCTCTATTTATCATATTCCCATATTCCTTAAGATCACGAATCCGGCCACCTAGGAGTTGGATAAGTTAATTGGAGATCTTTTTCTCAATGCCAAGTTTGCTGTGGAGGTAAGTGAATGCTTCTTTGCTAGTTAAGTCTTCGATAACAATGGGTTGTTTTTCAGCGCGTGACCATGATGATCGTTCTAGAGTAGAGCAAAGAAACATCAGCAAAAAACGAGATACAGACAAATTATATCATGCAATACTCACGCATCATCATGCGTAGCACTGTTCCCTCGCTACTGACAAATACAATGATGCAACTGCTTTGGTCAGCATAGAGTTTTGCGATGTCCTGCAAATCCTTCAACATGTTCACATTTTCCTGGCCCAGCTTACTTATGTT